CATAACAAATAAAGCTTAGGTTTTCTTATTTAGGAACTAGTTCACATATGGCAGTAACTGAGCACAGCAAGATTCTTAAGACATATTTGTGTGGAAGCTGTTTATGTGAAACGGTTCCTGAAATTTTCACCATGCCCTTGTGCCCCAAGTGGACATATTCAAAGCTGCGTGCATGTGCAAATGAACACAAAATAAGATGATGCAGTACTCTGTATAAATTGTGGCATGAGAGCTATCCGTGAGTGCTCTGCCACCAAAATAAAATAAAAGTGTCAGACATATTTTGTGCCAGGAATCCCAATTCTTCTGTCAAGTCACATTTAGACTCATATAAATTTACTTTCCATAAAAGCTTTAAGATTATTATTATCATATGTCAGTGTCTGTTGTGTAGCCAGGAGATCGGAGGATTGTCTGGCAGCTGAAATTCTAACTCTTTACTGATAGGCACCACAAAGTGGTGAGCTAGACTTCTTGGTGGGCTGAGAATCCTGAGAGGTTTGACTGACCCCCAAGGTCACCCAGCTGGTTTCATGCGGAGGAGTGGGGAATCAACTCCAGATTAGAGTCCTGCCACTCTTAACCCCTACACCAAACTGGCTGTCCTCAAAGCTGTGAGAGTATATTGTAGTCAGCCCTCCGGGATTATGAAATAAAACTGAATGAGAGAACAAAGACAAAAGCAGCCAAATGCTCCAGCTACAGAGCCAAGGGTGTGAGGCGCTCACCTTGCATCCTGGCTAAGATGACAGGCACAGGAAACATGTCAAGGGGGTGAGGCAAAAAGCACATCATGCTCCAAAAGATCCCACAGTTTGGTCTGCTAGATCCCTTATGGAAGCTTGCAGAGAAGTCCCAAAATGAAGCAAGGAACTTGCACCAGGTGCAAAAGCCTCACAATACTCACTAATACTGTCCTGCAAAAATGCCAAGAGATCGCCTGGAAAGAGAAAAGCCACGCCGGAGCAACAACAAAGGCCCTCCACCTGGGGTGCTGGTAGGCTGTCCCACTCCGATCATGTGGCCCAAGTTAGGGATCAAGAGTTATTAGAACCACTATATATGTAAACCGCCCAGAGACCCTCCGGGGTTAGGGCGGTATAGCAAGTTGAAAGTATAAATAAATAAATAAATAAAATCCTATTCAGTACCCCCCTCCACAAGCCTTTGTCACTAAACACTACCTACCATTTCCCAAACTTTTCTTTAAAGCTACACATTCTTGCAACCTAATTTTAAAAAAACAGAGCTGGAATATTTTGGAAAGTTGAAGCCTGTGAATAATATCAGATTTTTCTTCTGCACAGTATTACATCATCAAGTGTAGCGATTCATGTCATGGGTGGACTAGTCCTATGCAGTTAAGTTAGATACAAACTTGGTAAAAACCTAGTGAATCTACACTCAGCAAGTTTGCATTGCTAGCTCATAAGGCAGACTTTTCTTTCTACTTTTTAACAGTTTGTATGCCAGTGATTCTCCTCCCATTATAACACATCGTTCTATGGATGGTCATACATGATACAATGCCTATATCAAGAAACCCTTCATATCTATTATAAAGCGGTCACCAACTCAGGGCACCTTTCTTCGACCACTCAAAGAGGCAGATATCTGTCCACTGCTTTAAAAAGCCATCCCTACAGAAAAATGGTGGCCAGTTATCATCTGTTCTCTAATCTACCCATTCTGGATCAACTCCAGGTCTTCTTGGATAACTCTTCTACTCTAGAGCCTTTTCAGTCTGGTATGGGACACAGACAGCTCTGCTAGCTTGACAACCTTTGAGTGTAGAGAAAGGCCATGCCTTCTTGTCACTCTTGTTGGATTTATCGTCAGCCTTTGATACAGTAGTGCCTTCTTGTCACTCTTGTTGGATTTATTGTCAGCCTTTGATCATACTAGCTTGTTGAGGTGCTTGGAAGCAGAAGTAGGTATCAGAGGATGTGTGCTGAACTAGTTTAAATAATTCTTTCATCATTTGAACATGGAAGACCAGTTATCACCATGAAATCTATCCTATAGAGTTCCACAGGACACAATCCCGTCCCCCATGCTTTTCAGCAGCTGCAAAAAAAGACTTTCTTCCAACTCAGCCTAGCCTGAAAGATGGCCTCTTTACCTGGATCCACACTACAGTAACATCAAGACTAGACTACAGTAATGCACTATATATTAGTCTCTTGTCAAAATCAGTTTGGAAACTCCAGTTGGTTCAGAATGCTGTGGCTTGGATATTATCGGGAGCTAGATGGAGCATGTTTATTACTCCCATCCTACATGCACTTCCCCCATGAGTTATCGGGCTGAATTTAAGATATGCAAAGCCCTTTATGGCTTTGGACCCTCATACCTGTGAAACTGGCTCTCCTCCTGTTCTGCCACAACAGCTTTGCTCATCTGAGTTGGGCATTCTGTAGGTGCCAGCCTGCAAATGAGCATAATCAAGAACTGCCCATATAGGTGCCTTCTCCATTGCAGCCTCTGCCTTGTGGAACGGCCTGCCTGAGGAGATCAGGAAGGTTCCCAGTCTCCCGGTTTTCCACAAACTGTGCAAAAGTGAATTATTCAAGAGGGCTTTTCCTGCAGGCAATAGAGTTGCACTGTACTAAATGATTGATAAAATTACTTGTAAAAATTATCAGGGACTGTGGTTTATACCGCTGTGTATAGCTTGCTGAAACTAGGATTGTACTATGGAATTTGGCATCATTTAGTGTGTCATGTAAATACTTAGGCCTTGCTTCAGTTCTGTTTTTCAACTTCTGGTTGGTTCTACAACCCTGATCTTATTGCATTGTTTACTGAATGTCTCATCTGTTGATCATATTGAGTCACTCTGTGTAATCTGCCTTGTGTCCAAGGATTATAAAAAACATAAATAAAATAAAAATAAACACATAAGCACAAAATGTATTCTTGCAGTTTGTGCTGAAGCTGGGAGAACTGTTTTCAAATGAGAAAAAAGAACTAGATACATCTGTTAAGAAAATGCTGCAAGAAAAGAGCTGCATATGCAGCTAAACATTAGGACCTAAAAATGATCACATGAAAATCATCCCAAACCAGCTTTTTCAGTGATTTTAGCAAACCGGTGGAATCAGCTGCCTAGGGAGGTGGTTAGCTCCCTTTTACTGACAGCTTTCAAGAAGAGGCTTGATGAATATTTGTCAGAGATGCTTTGGACTGGTCCTGTATTGGACAGGGGGTTGGACTAGATCAGGGGTGTCAAACACGCAGCCCGGGGGCCAGATCAGGCCCCCAGAGGGCTTCTATCAGGGCCGCAGTGGAACTGGCTGTCTTCTGGTTCTTCTTCCATTTCTGCTGCTGCTGCATCATCGTAGGTTTGCAGCTTACAGATACACACCTGAACAGCACACTCAAGATTGCAACAGCACAGACATTTTGATGCAATAATTCAGAGCAAGAGGTGTCAGTTATCAGACACTGTTAAATAAACAAAATATTGCAAGAGTGCTAATGTTTGAAGCATGTTTTTATTTTAAGTAAAAAAAACACCCTTTATGTTTGTGCCCTTTATAAATTTTATATCTCTGCTACCTGGCATCACATTTTATGACACACATGTACCTGGCCCAACAAGGTCTCATTTATGTCAGATCTGGCCCTCATAACAAATTAGTTCGACACCCTTGGACTAGATGGTCTATATGGCCCCTTCCAACTCTATGATTCTATGATCTTGTGAATTTTTCAACATGTTCACATGAATGCTGAAAAGTTAACTGACCAAACTGTTGAGAGTCACAACATGTAATGAAACACAGGATTAAAAACAATTAGAGCTTTATTTCTGGATCAGACCAGTCTTTATGGGTAGTCAGAGAAAGCTTGTTTCTATACATAAAGATTCCATTCTTCTGTTATAGCTCATAGCTTTCAACAAACTTACATAAATACATCACATTAAAAAAAAGCTTTTAAACTCATGGTCGTTCCTACATCTTGTGGCAGTGAATTCCAGGAGTAAACTATACATCTTGTGTGAAAGTGTTGTTGTTGTTTTTTGGCCCATGGAGTTCATCTACTGCATGAAAGAAACATTTTCTCTCATATAAAATTAAAACTTACTGAAACAGTCCGTGAAAATTTGATTGCCTAGAACTGGTTATGGGTAGCATCACTCTTCATTTTCTTATTTTAGCAGGTCAATACAGATTGTAAGGCTGCTGCCCCTATTACTGGCCATGTGTTTCCACAGCTGTATCTGCTTTGTTTATTTAGATCAGTAATTCTGAAAACTCCTGTCAGCATTTTCATCCCTGTGGAAGGCTAAACTCTGCACTCCCTCACCTAACAGATCAGCTAAACTGCTGGTTAAAGCAGAATCCTTTCGTTGATAGCACATGAAGCAGAGTGGGAAAACAAACTATTTGTTTACTTATCTCAAGTAGGGAGGAATGTACATTTGAACTCCATTTTACCCACTTCAAAAGTGATTGAGTCCGTGTCCATTTCATCAGTACATGAATACAAACAGTTAGAGAGATGGCTATAAGGGCTACTCCCTCATAGATAGATTTCCTTCTTGAAGACTCACAGAGTGCTGACCAATTATACAGTTTGGGTTTTTCTAGGACAGGAAACAGTTTGACTGGATATGGCTGCTCCTACATCCTTCCAAACTCAATCTGCTCCTGTTAATCTTTCCTCATTCACAGGCCACAGCTCATTTAAAAGCAAGAACAAACATGTTTAACTTAACAATCCAAACACACTGCTGCAGGGAACACAAACACACATGAAACTTCTCTGAAATTAATGCATAAACTAAGTTTTGTAACAATAACAGCTTTCTTAATCTTATCATGGCATACCAGTTCTTCAAAGTATACAGATCAACCACTAAAAGTACAAAAGTATTTAATCCATACAAAAATATTGATTTTCTAAGGAGCAATATGGAAAAGTAGAAACTATACATTGATATTTACATAGCATTATAAAATGAGTGTCTTTTGGTGACTTCTTATGCCATGATTAATTTGTGGGTAGAGTCTTTTCACATTGGTTTACATAAGAAATCTTTCATCCACCAAAGTTTTAGATGCCAAATTCTTCTGTCCAACAGTATACCGAATAAACTTAAAAATCTAAATACAAAAAACAGACTTTAAGTCATCCATATATAAAAGACAGTTTTCGACATTCTACAACACTCTGCCAATATTCCAACACACTTTGTGGCAGCAACTATTGTCTTTCTCCCAAGGCTGCCTGTAGGAACTATGGAAGGGCTTCCCGGCTCTTGGGTCAGTTGCAGTGCGAACACCAGTTGTGCTCTTGCTCTGAAGCTGGGTCTCCTGAAGGTGATCCTACAAACCACAGCTCAAAGAATCCAGGTGCAGGGCTGGCATTTTGAGACTTGGACTAAGAAGCTGACTGACTGACTAGCAAACTGAAAGTGGACTACTGGTCAAGCAGGGAAGCCAACATAATGATTGCATCATAGGTCTTTGTTGCTGTATGATGAAATTTTGAGTGGAATGTGGGGAAATGCTGGATAATTACCTTTTAATTGTCCAGTGTAGAATACTAGTTGCCTTACTGAAGCCAAACTGAACTTACATAATTAGGCTGCTCAATAATTGGGATGGCAGTGGAAGATTCTACAACATAGCTCTCCATGGGAGACATAAGCCTGGAAGGGTGGCTCAGTTAGGACATTCGCACTCTCATTTTACTACTCTTTTAAGAACTATTCATTTTAATGAGGAAATACAAATGGTTCACTTTCCACGTATACTCCATACAGTTTAGATAAATGAGTATATACTGTTATGAACCAAACCACCTAAGAATTAATAGTCTCATTCTCCATCCAGCAAGAAAACTTACCTCTTGTTGTAAATATGTCAGAACAGCGGCTAAAACAAAACTCTGGGTAGCCATATCCACAATTGCAAAAAACAGCATATCAAAAATGAGAAGAGTGGTTTCATTGCCATAATAAAGAGTATCACTAAAAGAATGCCCTTCATCTGCAAGAGAAAAAACCTGTTGAGAAAACTGCACACTCTCTGTTATGAAGAAGATGCTTTATAAAATGAGAACAAATCTCCCTAACACAATGGGTAAAAATGGTCAAAACAAAATGATTATAAAAACAATAACACGTTGCAAAACAAATGTCACTACAAATCCTCAAAATTACTGTAGTTAGATTTCATAAGGTGATTTTGGGACAGGTTGATACATTGCATTACTTTCAGGCACCCATAAATGCTTTTAGTTTGGCCATCTTACTACTTTGATTAGGAAAAAGAGATTATCCACTTTTATTGTCAACTGGAAACCCTTATAGACTTTTTGCAAAAAATGGAAAAAAATGAACTGATGATTTGAGGGTATGAAGAATTTCTATCAGAACATGGAACAAATTTAACAGTCTTCTAAAAAGCAATGCCCATGGAAATAAAGACTGAAAGCCTACCAAATCTGGTTCTGACTGACAAATTCCTGTATTTCATTAAGCCAAACAACTGCATGACTTAGTTTTAACTGCAGTAGCAGTGGCACTACAGCTGAAGGCTAACCTTATGTACTGCAAACTTATTTTTAGCACCTAACGAAGGGCCCTTAGAAGGTTCTAGAAATGAAAACAAGACAAAAACTTCTTCTGAAAAGCACACTGTGGAATATGCAGTGCATATTCTTTGATGTAAGTTTCAATCTTGACATCAGGATGACAGATGGCTGTAAAAAGGCATGTACGTCTTCAAGAAACTAACCCTTAGAATTCTGATGGGTAACATCACAGAAGTTATGTAACATAGCTTAAAGGAATCCATTAGCCAGTCAACTTGTGCAGTGAGGCATTGCTTACCCAGATATGTAAAAAACATATTTCAGACATTTTCTACTACTATTATATGACCAGTTAGTTTTCCTCCCAAAGGCCTGTTCATACATAAGGAGGATTTAACTCTGTTTCATTCTAGAATTTCCTTTTTAGCAGAGAATATGAAGTGAAAGTAAATGGGGTAATACAAGCAGAGTGCTTTAAAATTTATCTATTTGCACAAAAAATATTAACAGCTAAGTTGGTAATACCATTGTAAAAGATGCTCTTTTCCATTGGTTCCATAAACTCCATTCCAAGAATTCGTTCTAATAACAGTTTGTCCTTTACTATGTAATCCATTTCCTTATGAACCTATAAAAAACCATAAGAAAAATTCTTCGTGGTCTAAAGGTGAACTACTTAGGAAAAACAGCATGGACAAACACTATGTACCAATTATATAAAGAATGCCTCCTGGAAAGGGAGTTAAAATAGATTTTAAGGCAGTGAAATCAGCTCCTGCATACTAATACAGCATGACCTCTAAAGGCCAATCTATAGCCTCATACAGAACAAAAGATACCACAGTTTCCCATGTCAAACTAACTATCCTGTCCTCAGTTAAATGTCTGTATACATACATGATCAATGAAAGAGCCAAGAAATTTATTCATGGTATGGTATGCTTTAGTGCTCTGTTCAAATGTAGTTGTAGAAGAATGCAGAAGCCTCACAGGGCCATGTTTCTGGGGAAAAGAAAACAAGGCAAAATAGAGTTTAAATGAATTTAAAACACCAAGGGTATCTTCAGATATAATGAGTAAGCAAGCCTGATAGAAGCCCTCTGGGGACCTGATCTGGCCCCCGGGCCACATGTTTGACACCCCAGCTCTAGATAATAATTTTGTTGGGAGTCAGCACTGTAACAGTAATATACGTACTCTCGTTAATGTTTCATGAATCCGGTCATATTGCTGCCTCATCTTGCTTGAAACAGAAATCTGAAATGTTTGGCCATCTGTATTTGGTACTAAACCTCTTTGACTACACAGATTTTCCTGAGGAAAGGACACAAAGTACAACTGTTGGAACTACACGTGCAAAGAACAAACTCTACAGTCATTATGCTTGTTGTTCTGTGATGAGTATAGCTGAATATGTACGGCAGATGTTTTTGCTTTAGTATGAACAGACATACTTACAGGCAGCTAATTCTGCACAGAAATGCTAACTGATTACAGACAAAAAAAGAGAAAATGACAGGATTTTAATAAGGCCAAGATCAAAAGAACACTGAAATCACCCCGACTCCAAAAGAGTTTCAGATTTGTTCTTCTCTGACAGCAGCATTCCACACTGCATGGCTGAAGGCTTACAAAACTGAAGAGTTTCAGACCAACTGAAGACAGGACATGGGAGTCAAGTGTGCAAAGTTGTCAAAAGTTTCACTAAGCATTTATTCAGGTCATGGCTTACGTATAATACAGAGTTCACTTTGCTTTAGATCTGCATTGTTTAAATATGTTGAAGTGAACTTAAAGGAAAGCCACTCTTCCTCTCCTACTCAAAGGCTGGTATAAGCTTAAGGGATAATGTTAAATTATAGTATAGTACCAAATCAAAGTCTTCGCCCACGTTTGTCACATTATATTTACTTTTCCTGGCAAGTAAGAGGGCGGAAAAGCTACAAATATTCTAGTGTTCTCTTTACAACAAAGCAAAACTAAGTACGGTACAAAGACTTTGTTGCAAAATCAAGTAGAAGCATAACTTTGAAGATAGAAAATGTCTTCAACAGCACAAAGAAAACCACAACGGTAATGGTTTCACCACTGTCAGTACCTTTAAAAATACTTCGCTACAAGAAAATAAAAGAAACCTCCAGCATCTAGCAATCCACTGAAGGTGCACAGAGGCAGAATATACTGTGGTAATACATACATTGTATATGAACATACAGCTGTAATGCATCTGTTACTAGGAAAGCCTGGCTTTTCAGGTTAGCCTTTTTAGAAGTATCTCTAAGAGAATATACAAGTAAGGAAGAAGGCAAACACCCAGCCCTCCTTCAGCTGCCTCCTTTTAAGTCCAGGATGGATCAGACGTTTTCCCTCTGAGTCTGCCCACCTGGCCCTGCCCTCTAACTGGCTAGAATTAAATAGTCAGCTAGGAGGACTAAGCCAGAGATGGAAATGAAGGCCCCAGTGGGAAAAAACCTGTAAAGAGCACCATCACCTTTTGGCCTCTCACACCTAGGGAGTAGCTGTGGCTCAGTGGTGGAGTATCTGCTTGTCATGCAGAAAGTCACAAGTTCAATCCCCAGCATCTCCAGTTAAAAGGACCAGGCTGTAGGTGATGTGAAAGACCTCCGCCTGAGACCCGAGAGAGCTGCTGCCAGACTGAGTAGACAATACTGACTGTGATGGACCAATGGTCTGATTCAATACAAGGCAGCTTCATGTGTCCTATCCTGGGCACTCAGTGAGGAGATTTACCAAGAATTTACAGATATTCATTATAAAATATACTAGTCTAGGGGGTAGTTTTGAATTTAACATCAGACTTTCCAGTAGGAGACTTGACCAACGTTTACCTCTTCACTTTCCATCCTCCCTTTCACTCCTTTCTTAGGGAAACCCAGTGAAATGAGAACACCAATACACAAACTATTATATATTCTTTAAAGTAAACCTTTGGATCTCCTCTTCCTAATTTTTACATACCGCTTCCCTCTTCAGGTTCATATTCATTTCTTCCATATTAGTATCTGCATGGCCATGTACAGAACGGCCGTGAATGTAATATCCAAAGCATCTGTTTGACAACAGGAAAACTGAAATCTGCAATGAAAATAAAACAAAACTATATTAACCAAAACTTACCCAAAATTGAACCAAAGCATGTATGTTACTTTCAGCACAGTAAAATGCTATATGATCACTCAGCATCTGAAGCCTATTTGCACAAGAAGGTACAGTTCTAAACCACTAAAATTAATATTTCACAAACTGATTACTTTTCACTGTCACCACACTACAGACAGCAAAGTACAGTACATTTTGAAACCGGAGCATGCAGAGGGGTGTGTGTGAGAGAAAACAAATACACCCAAGGTTGTTGGGGAGAGGGTAGGCGGTCTGGGCTACAGGCAGAATATGACTGTAGCTTCTGCCAGGTGTGGTTAACTGCAAAGATTCAAACATCATTAATTAAAATATAGTTTTATGTTATATCCACCATCTGGACTCGGAGCTTAAGGCAAGCTAGGCTATATTATTCCCTTTAACCACAACAGTCTCACAATACCATGTAGAGCTCTGAGTGTACTAAGCTTTGCACTGGATGTTTCTCTCCATGTCCCTAATTACAGAAGTGAAAAGAAATGAAGAGACTATAGTAAAGGTACAGTGCAGACTTACCTGCCAGCTGCCTTTGTGGCTTGGGGCAAGCAAAGAAGGAATTGGACGGCTGCAAGCTGGCTGCATGGCCTTCGGGGAGAGGTAGCGGGCCCCATGGCAGCTGCATGTGGGTCAATCACACCTGTGCTGGGTGGGGCATGGAGGAAGGGGGGGGCAGAGCTGGGATGTTGTGCCACGGGTCACGCTCCGCCCTCCCATTCGCTACTTAAGGTAGTCACAGCAGGGGCTAAGCCCTCAGTTGGCTGTGGCTTTTCCCACCCACCCTCCATGTGTTTCGGTTGTCATGGGTTGCATTTCAGGTTCAACGCTATTTATCACTGGCACAGCTTTTACGTGGTGGGATGGAGTCTTGAAGGGGGGGGCGTGCCTACATGTCCACCTCCCCTCAGTTGGGGACTTCCTTAAGGGGTCTTGGGGGTGGAGCCCTTAGCAGCACACCGAGGCAGGAGCTGCTGGCTGGCTCTCACCACCAGGTGGGCAAGGGAACTGCACAGTGGCTGGCACCCACACAGGTATTTTGAGCTTGTCACTCTGCAGTGTTGCCCCCTGGCAGGTATGCCAGGTGTGCCCAGGTATATCGGGCAGCAGGTAGGTCACCCGATGATGGATCTGTCCCCATGCTGCTCCAATGCTCCTGCTCTGCATTCAATAAAACTGTGGACTACTTTCATCCAAGCTACTGGAGTCCTGGTGTTTCCTCTTGTCCCCTCCCCCCCCTTTCCTAGCCCCTGGGTCCATAAGGAATGATGAGATAAAGAACATTATCAACAGAGTTATCTATTGGAACTGTACAAATGACAAAATACTTACATTGCTCATACAGCACAAATCAACAAACTGCCTTATTTTATCTTCTACAAATCTTTCATAAAAGACAGAAAAGTATGCCATCTGAAATAAAAACCAGATGATTACTCATGAGTTCATGAAATATATTTTTCCTTTCTCTAATCTTGGAGAGCCAATAGTGACTATAGCTGTATTAGTTCCCAGCTTCCCTATGATGGTGGTTTGCAAAATGAGTCTCTGTGCCCTTAAGCCTGGGACGTTAGTTGAAGAAGGTGGGGCGGGGAACCGGCCTCTTCAGCGTGCTACAGGAGATCTGGTGTGTTCTGGTGGTATGCAAAGTGAGACTCTGTGCCCTTAAGCCTGGGACGTTAGTTGAAGAAGGTGGGGCGGGGAACCGGCCTCTTCAGCGTGCTACAGGAGATCTGGTGTGTTCTGGTGGTATGCAAAGTGAGACTCTGTGCCCTTAAGCCTGGGACATTAGTTGAAGAAGGTGGGGCAGGGAACTGGCCTCTGCAGCGTGCTAGAGGCGATCTGGTGTGTTCTGGTGGTTTGCAAAGTGAGTCTCTCTGCCCTTAAGCCTAGGAAGTTAGTTGAAGAAGGTGGAGCGGGGAATCGGCCTCTGCAACATGCTAGAGGCGATCTGGTGTGTTCTGGTGGTTTGCAAAGTGAGTCTCTGTGCCCTTAAGCCTGGGATGTTAGTTGAGGAAGGTGTGTGTGTGTGTGGGGGAGCCGGCCTCTGAAGCATGCTACAGGCGATCTGGTGTGTTCTGGTGGTTTGCAATGAGTCTCTGTGTCCTTAAGCTTGGGACATTAGTTGAAGAAGGTGTCTGTGTGTGTGGGGGAGCCGGCCTCTGCAGCGTGCTAGAGGCGATCTGGTGTGTTCTGGTGGTTTGCAAAGTGAGTCTCTGTGCCCTTAAGCCTGGGATGTTAGTTGAAGAAGGTGGGGCGGGGAACCGGCCTCTGCAGTGTGCTACAGGCGATCTGGGGTGTTCTGGTGGTTTGCAAAGTGAGCCTCTCTGCCCTTAAGCCTGGGACGTT